AAAGTCGTCAACATCCGTGGCAAACTGCGGCTGAGATGCACTTGCAATGACTCGATTTCCCTTTTCAGGATTCCTCTGCATTCAGAAAGTCGATCCGGCTCAGTCAGCTCCTTCTCTTGACGCAGCAACATCGCCTTCATATCCTCAATTTCGATGTTCAGGATGTCACACTGGTTTTGGATTAACTCGACGATTGCTCTCGGTCCAAAAGCGTAGTCGCGCTTAAGTTCGAGCCAGTCTTGTCGCTGGAAGCCAGAAACGTCTCCCCATTCCGTCATGTACTCGTGCCAGGAATCCATGATGAGGTAACGGGTTCCCATGCGAAGGATTCTTTCCTTCGTCACCTCCGCCTGGCGCAATAACTGAGTTAGTTAGACGCATCTGTTCTGCAGCCGGTGCGTCAATCAACGATACGTGCATCGAATCCTCGGGCTGGTCCTGTAATTACTTCCAGCACTTCGGCGCAGACTTTCTTCACTGCGTGCCACATTTCGCTACAATTCTCTTCGGGCACATGTCCGTGGTTCCTCATCTTTGTGAATGACGCTTCAGCGCGTGCATCACATGGTCGAGGTAAACAGTGGACGGCATATCATTAGGCCAAACCAGCACTACGGCGGCAGAGATCGAACGGGAGTTGAGCTGCACTGCTAGTCCATCGAGCGTAGAATAGACCGTTATACTTACCTTGTCGTTTTCCTCGAGCACCTTCTCGGCCCGAATAAACGACAATGGCAGAGCGACAATGGTGGGATTCGGGTTGTGCGTAGTACGAGTCGGTTTCCGGGAAAAAAGGGAAACAGCGAAGGATGAATGATGCGTTTCCCATGAGCATTTCTCAACGCGGTGCTGAAGGTGTAACAACTTGAACGATGAGCGGCGATCGCATGAACTAGCCCCAAGACTGTCAAGTGTTTGAGTCCTTGTTGAGAAGCTCTTCCTCCTTGCGTCGATCCCCCAGAATGGATCGAGCACTATAGACGCGACATTCGCCAGTTCGAACATATTGTTGACCGGCTTGGATCTTGCAAGGTCTGAGCGCAAACTTGGCAGAGCGGTCTGAGCCTTAGTTCGAAAGATGTTGCACGTACACGGATGGAAGAGATGCAGCGGATCTTCCTGCGGAGGCCCGACGTCGACTCTGAAACAAGTCGGTTTACAATGAATTCTGTTATGTTTCTTCGGTCACCCTCTTTTTGTTCGCTGTTTAACAGTTTGTATATGTACCGGTTCATCATCAAGTTCCAATGGCAATCTTTTAAGGAAATCAAACTGCACCTTTAGCGGCTCAGCGTTACCAGCTAAAGAGGCGATCAGGGCAGCGCTGTTGTCGCTGACTTCTATTATTCTGAATGGGCCGTTCCATTCATTTGCGAGCTTTGGATGAGTTGACGCAGCCTTTTTATGGGAACGCGCATGTACACTCTCTCCCCTACGGCGAAAGGTCGTTCCGAGACGTCGTAGTACTTTTTCATGCGCTCACGAGCCTTTTGATTTTGGGATCGTGCAAAGTCTCGAACTACTTTTAAGCCTGTCACTAATTCATTTATATAGGAGTCCATGTCCTACCATGTATTCACTTACGCCATTTTCTGGTACTGAATTCCATGGGTATCTTGCAGTCAAACCCATGTAACAAAAAGAATGATGATTCACCAGTAGCTTCATGGGCAGTGGAGTTGTATGCGATCATACAATTGGCAGGAATTTGTCCCACTCCATAGGGAGATGTGCTTTTTTTCTTAGCATTAGCGATAGTACTCTTATTGAACCTTTCGGTCAGTCCGTTCTCGCGTGGATTGTAAGTTTTAGTGAGTGTCTGCCGAATTCCCATCACTTGTGTGAGTTCGACCATTAATTTATTGTCGAATTCGCCGCCTTGATCTGACAATATGCATTCTGGGATACGGCAGCCATCTGCCATCCAGCGCTCGAACAGTGTGCGCGCCACAATTTCAGCTGCTTTTGATGGCAATGGGTACGCTCCTCCGTACTTGGTGAAGTGGTCTATGACGCTTAAAATGTAGCGATTACCGCTAGTTGTCTGACCCATTTCAAGTATGTCAATCCCTACCATTTCGAGTGGTTTTGTAGTTACAATTGGTTTGAGTGGAGGGGTAATTCCAGGTCTTTGATTGAACAAAAATTTCGACACGACATTTCTTGCATTCCTCTGACCAGAGGAGACCATCACTTTTCATAGACTCCCAGAATACGCGTTTCTTCAAGGGTTTTCAATACTTTCTGCGGCCCAAAATGTCCTGCTAATAATGAGGCATACGCATCTAGGAACACGCTCTTTCTGTGAGCTTGGGGAACCACTTTTCTTAAACGCAAGCGTGCAAAGTCCGCTACCTTGTATTTCCGATTTTGATTTGGGAAGGTTACACTTTCCGTGAGTTTGTTGTGTTACAGACTTTCAATGATCTCTGCGTAAATTTTGTCTTGGCGCAATTTTTGCATCCAACGAGGCTCTTCTGGCATGGCAGCGACGATATTTCCATTGGGCAATGCTTCTGCATATGCTATAAGAGGGTTATCGTCCACTGGACCGCGACTCAGGAGCATCGGCTACTTTATTAGCTGCTCCTTTGAGATACACTATTTTGATGTCGTACTTTCTGAATTTCTAATTGCCCATCGGAGTATCCGAGATGAGACATTAGTCCTCGTAAAGAGTGTGAGCAATGGCTGGTGATCTGCTTTCAGCCCATAAATGAACATGTGAAATTTGGCAGAGGGCAAATATTAGGTCGCAACGAAAGTCCTGGCGCATTTCTTCAAAGTCCTGACAAACGGCTGCGCATTAACCTGGAGGGGAAATTTTTTAACCATATACAGGAATGGTAACATCCCTTCATATTTCCGAGTCTCACCTCCTGCAGGCCTTTTGGAGCCTGGAAAATGCCATAAGTTTCTACCCATGTACGCCACTGACTTCTTTGCGAATTTTGTATGGGACACACAGCGAGCGAAGCCTGCCGCAAAATATGCTCTGTGGAAGTAGGGGGAGTGGTAAGTGAAAAAACCTGCCAACTTTGGTTCAGAAGGCTCCGCGAAGGAAACTACAACCTCGAAGATGGACGCCCAACGAAAGTTAATTTCGAACGTTTGGAGCTGTTACTTCAAGACTTTCCGCATGCAAGCGCCATGGAGCTGGCAAAGGAGATGCACTGCTTCAACATGGCCACAGGTCGTGTTCATCACATGCTGGAAAAAGTTGAGAAACTTGGTCGATTGATCCCTCATGAGCTGACAGAGCATTGCAAGAAAAGAGGTATCGGGGTGTGCGGAGGTTTTCTTGCAAGGAGTCGCCGTTTCGACTGGTTGGATAATGTAATTACTGGAGATGAAAGGTGGGGGCTCTACCTATGTCATACCAGAAGAAGACAGTGAATGGGTGCGAACCAGAAGCCAGAGCCTGTTCCAAAGCAGGAGGTTCATCCCAAGAAAGTTCCTCTGTCAGTTTGGTGGAGAGTTCGGGGAACACGTCATTACGAGATGCCAGACAATACCATCGTCGACGCCGAGGTGTACTGCTCACAACCACGAAGGCTCGCA